TGAACTACGCCACTGATGGTGGATGCCGTGCAGGGAGTGGCCAAATCTGAGCTGAGTCATGGTGGCCTTTAAAGGCGAGCAGAGCAGAGGTTAAAGGACACTGTCCCAGCCAGAGACGGCCAGGTGGGGCGCACTCAGAACGGACGCCCCTCCGCTGCGACTGCTAACGGGGGACACCTGGCTTCTCCTTGGCTGGCCCTCGAAAGGAATAGATGTGGAAAGGCCCAGCCTGTCCGGTCCGCCTGACCCCGCTTCCTCTACTTGTGTCTGTGTGACGGCTCTTGCCAAAATCCCCGTCGCCCCCACTCTGGGGGCCCCTCCTCCCGCTATGCCTTGCGGGTCTCGGCAAGGAGACACCTCTCCTTCGGCCAGTTGATACATGAAAGCGAACCGGCGAGTTAACGTGATCTCATCTGGCAACCCCCATGGATCTGTGGCCCCGGCCCTGCACATACATCGCCGCTAAGGGAACCCAATGAACGCCTCGGTCAGGAGCCCGAGGGTGACAGTGGCAGGTGGCCACTTCACATGGGCTGACCCAGAGCGATGGGGCGCCTGGCTCCAGCTCCAACACGGAGTGCACCTGACCCAGTGCGGGCCGCAGTGTGGGGTCCCACAGGTGGGTCCAGTCCTCACCGAGTGTCGCAGCGAGGACAGGAAAGACGTGGAGAAGTGTGTGGACGCGCCACAGACACACTCAGGGGCAGAAAACCACCAGGGCTGCCCACTGCGGTGTGCACTGGTCACCTGGGTGCCCACGACCCCGCGGCAAGCGGTCACGTCAGCAGAGTGGTTCTCTCTGGAGGTGGGGAAGGCTGGGTCGGGTTGGGGCGCCAGGGCTGCTGGGTGACTGGCAAGCCGTGGTTCTCCCTGGGCGTGGACAGCAGGGGGCACACCTCGGAACCCCTCTTGCCATCTGTTTCTAGTACCCGAGTGACTCACAGCAAGGCCCCTCACGCAGTGCTGTGAGCCATGCACACGTACCAGCATACCAGCGTCTCGCCCTCCCAGGAACTGCGAGAGGGCTCTCACGTCCGTTTGCAGAGACAAAGCTAGGATAGGTGTGAGGATGCCAGCCTGGCTAGCAACCAGCAACACAAGGCCAACAGGATGCGGCCCTGTTGTCTGGCGTGGCTCGGAAAGCCGGTTCTGTTACTACGGGCCAGCAAGGAGAGGCTGAGGCGAGGCACCCTCACGGGCTCTGTGCACTTGCACACGGTCACACGCCAGACAGGCACTCCCTGGATGCAGAGACAGACAAGTATGAGGATGTCCACCGCGCAGGTGCAATCAATCAAACTCGAAAACCAAGGCGGGACAGCAGGTGGCGCGCCGGCTACGGCGCTCAAGCCCGGGACCTGGAGTGTGCACTCTCTCGTCCCCCGTGTCTCTAGCGAGCATGCATTATTAACGTGCCTACAGCAAATGAACAATGCTAATAAATAAAAGTAAGTAATTATTTATCTTTTAAGGTTTCTGCCATAAGGCACATGTACTCATCACCCCCATGGGCTGGCCACGTGCAGGCCTGGCTCCTCCCTTCTCCTGGGTTCTGGGCACGCACACACACCCAGTGTGTTTTTTTTGTTTTTTTTTTTTGAGAGATTTTCACTATAGGGCGTGTGCGCTCGCCAGACAGACAGAAACAGAGAGACAGCCAGTGAGAAATCACCCCCCCAGGGGGGGACGGCCACGCCGCAATCCCTTCTCCATTCGCCTCTCGGGATCTTGGGCACGCACACACACCCAGTGTGGTTTTTTTGTTTTTTTTTTTTGAGAGATTTTCACTATAGGGCGTGTGCGCTCGCCAGACAGACAGAAACAGAGAGACAGCCAGTGAGAAATCACCCCCCCAGGGGGGGACGGCCACGCCGCAATCCCTTCTCCATTCGCCTCTCGGGATCTTGGGCACGCACACACACCCAGTGTGGTTTTTTTGTTTTTTTTTTTTGAGAGATTTTCACTATAGGGCGTGTGCGCTCGCCAGACAGACAGAAACAGAGAGACAGCCAGTGAGAAATCACCCCCCCAGGGGGGGACGGCCACGCCGCAATCCCTTCTCCATTCGCCTCTCGGGATCTTGGGCACGCACACACACCCAGTGTGGTTTTTTTGTTTTTTTTTTTTGAGAGATTTTCACTATAGGGCGTGTGCGCTCGCCAGACAGACAGAAACAGAGAGACAGCCAGTGAGAAATCACCCCCCCAGGGGGGGACGGCCACGCCGCAATCCCTTCTCCATTCGCCTCTCGGGATCTTGGGCATGCATGCACACGCGCCCGGCGTGAGTTTTAAGCCACCGGGTCTGGGATGCGAACCGCGGTGGACTGTGTGGGAGTCCAGCAACACAGCTGTTGAGCTAACTGCTGGTTCCCAACACCCAGTGTGGTTTTCAAGTCGCCGGGTCCGACTCTTGAACCCCAGCAGGTCACATGGTAGCCCAGCACCGTGACCACAGCGATTAAAATGAAATATTCTACAGGTACCAGCATGCATGTCTCTCAATATGCTGTAATTCGCTCACAGACTTTGAAATTAAAACGCACGGACACACCGTTTACCAGCGGAGCTGTGAAGAGCGACTGTGACCACAGGAACACGGGCAGGGGCTGGGGAAGAGTGGGGGTGTCAAAGGTGGTTCAACATCCCTTTTTTTTTTTTTGGATGTTTTTGCTATAGGGTGGGTGCACTCACCAGGAAGACAGAGACAGAAAGCCAGAAATCACCCCCCAGGGGGGACGGCCACACCGCAATCCCTTCTCCATTCTCCTCTCGGGATCTTGGGCACGCACGCACACGCGCCCGGCGTGAGTTTTAAGCCACCGGGTCCGGGACACGAACCGCGGTCAACTACGTGGGAGTCCAGCGACATAGCCGTTACGCTAACTGCTGGTCCCCTCAATATCTGCTGTTTTTGGAAACCCAAACAAATGTGTCCGGGGTGGAGGTGAGGTGGGTGTCTGTGGGCTACTTGGAGTCCAGGGAGGACGACTGCAGGAGGCAGCCCAAGCTGGACCCGCAGCTGGGGGCCCAGGGCCCTGAGCCAAACACCCTGTGCTTCCTCATCTGTACGAGGAGGTGGGCAGGGCCTGCTGCGGCCGGCGCAGACGGCTGAACGTCTGTGAAGGCCAGTACAGCGCCTGGCCCGGGCATGCAAGCAGGGCTGCACCAGCTCCCCAGCTACTCAGGGCTGGAAGGCAGGAGGTGGCCCAGCTGCTGGACCCTCGAGTCTGCGGAGGAATTTTGCACTTTTCTGAATAAATGCTACACTTGAATACCTAAAGCTTCCTGGAGGAAGGGAGGGAGGGCTAATGCGCCCGGTGAGATTCTGGCTCCAGCTAGAATCTAGAACCTAACAAGGCAGGTAGGAAACCAGGAGGGTGACCCTGGGCTACTGGCCAAAAACAAAACAAAATCACCTACTAGAAACTTTGGTAGACAACCCTTTCAGAGACAAAAGGAACAAAAATATAGCCAAGTTGGTAAGAGAGGACAGGAAGGAGGATGTGTGGACAGGACCGGGCGACAGCAAGGACTGGCTGGTGTGGGGTGCTGCCGGCTCCTCCCCCGCCAGGACCAAGCGTGTCCCCGCCAGGCCGAGGGGCGGGGGGGCCCGCGGGCCCCAGCGGTCCTGCAGGGCCAGGCGGGGTTTGAATCCGTTTCTGGAGCCTTGGAGACCCGCGGGCACATGCGCTGACAGGGCGGAGAGCGGGCGACAGGACCGGGCGACCGCAGCCGCTGGAGATGGCGGTTGGTCCCGGCCGGCCAGCTCCCAGCACTGCTGCGACAGTCGGGAAGGGCACCGCGGGCAGGACCCAGTGTGGGGACAAAGCCGCACGGACGGCCCCACGCCACCGCGACCGAGCGTCCCCGAAGGCCACGGGGGCGGCGCGCGGGCGCTGGGGA